GTAGGCATTTTGGTTTTCTCTCAGTGTGTAAAGAGGAGATGATGAAGAGGTTTGTTGATGGCCTACAGTCTGTTGTATCCTCTCTCATTACCATTAGCAGAGTTACCTCAGTTTCCAAATTTAGACATACTGTAGTGTCAACACAGTGAGTTGGAACATGCAGAATTAGAGGATAAAGTGACAGACAGACTACGAGTGTCAAATGTGCAATGACGGCTTTCTAAGGATCAGTCCTCCAGGTTTGCATGCAACCTTATGAAGTGTAAAATGTATTCTGTCCTTTTATTGACAGTTGTGGAAGTCTGTCCTTAATTTACTGGTTTCTTGCAGTTGTCACTCCACAGAATAAATAAATCAAGCTGTTGTATATGAGAATCCCCCTCACACCCATGCATGCACAAAACCCTCCCACAAATTATAAAATGTACCAGGAAAAACCTCCCTTCTTCTCCTAAAGAGAACTTTCCACAGTCTCTTCAGTCTCTTTGGCAACTTGTTCCGGTGCTTAATTACTCTCACATTAAATATATTTTCCTTATACCCAGTTGGAACCTCTCCTGTTTCAACTTAGGACCTGTATCTCTCATTCTCCTCTGTCTTCCCAGTAACCACCTCTTGTGTATTGGAAACCTAATAGCAGTTAATGGCTATTAATTCACCTCTGAGCCTTCTTCACGCCAAAAAGCCCAGTTCCCTCAGCCTGTCCTCACAGAGCACGTGCTTGAGTCCCTGACCGTCTTGATGACCCTCCACTGGCCTTGCTCAAGTTCTTACCCACCCAGTGCTCTACCCATCTAGATGACAATGTCCTTACTTGGGTACCAGAGTGCTGTGGGAGACCATGCTGAAAGCCTTGCAAAACTCAAAGCAGGTGTGATCCACCGCTCTCTCCTTGTCCACTGGACCAGTCATGGAAGGCAATCAGGTTGGTTAAGTATCCATAGCAACTCCAAAAAAAGATTGGTGAAGTATCTGGCATAACCTAGAGCAGCATTGAGGCGGTCCTCATCTCACTGGCTGAAAAGGTCCCAGTGGCCTCTTTTTCGTGTGAGCTGTACTTTAGACAGTTGTAGCTGTGGGTTTTCAGGATATTTTTTTCCCTGACATAACAGTGCAAAAGAGCAGATGTACAGACCAGCTTGCTGAGGTAAAATAACAAAAGCTTAATTGTCTTCCATCAGCGTATATCAGTAAAATAACCAGCAGCCTTTACTGACAATATCCTATAAACATTTTTCAGGCAGCCACCACATCTGAGAAGAACTGTAAGGGGGCAGCCTAATTGTCTGCTTTAAGTAGTTCTCACCTTCCTCCATGGGAGACACATTCGCACACTTTTTCCTCCTATCTTTCACTATGACATTGTATTAATACTGCTATCATAATGTACCTGTAAACAACATGAGGTTAAATGTTTTGTAAGCAGCCCTGTGGGCCCAGTGCACAGAAGTTATGTAGTATTGCAATTAAATCCTCCAGAGTCCTAGTTCTTCAGTTTAGTTGTTCAATCTGCTTCCATAGAGCCCAGATCAAGTTCTCAGCTCAGCAATCAGTCATTTCACTCTGAGACTCAAGTTTCTTTTCGCCTCCCTGTACATGCTTGTGAGCTGAGGAGAATGGTTCTTAATTTGTATACAACAGCAGAGGATATTGGTACTAGGCTGAGGTTTTGGGGTGTAGGTTTTTGGGGTTAGGTTGGAGTTTTTTTATGAAATCTTCTTAAGAATACAAAATTAATATTTACCACATTTTTAACAGAGATATCATTGCCTGTATTACTAATATCCATACCTAGACCTATGTTCTTTCAATCACTCTGGAATGTGTAGGTTTCTTCTGTGAACATCCAGCAGGTCTGATAGACCTTCCAACAGAACTTGACTATTCTTTGCATTTCATACTTGGTCCAACTGGCAAGGACAATGTCTGCGTGTCTCTGAAAAAGTAAAGTGGTGCCAACTTGGCCAAAGTTGTTTATATGATAAACACAGTGAAACATATATTACAGTGCCAACAGCCTTATTTTCATAGTGCTTTAAGGCTATTTTTACAGTATTAAAGGCTGAAGTGAAAAAGAACATAATGAGTGTCAAAAGTATGATGAAGGACAATTCAATTCTCAAACTAGTGCTTTTGACAAAACCCACTGAGACTATGAAAGCTGTCTGCATTCTGCCCATGCTGTTTCAGAGTAATAGCTGGTGCTAAAATAAGCACAAATCAATACAACTTGACCTATGGCATCTTCATGTGTATGATCATTGGAACTTGGTGTTGCTTGAGCAGGATCATTTGTCTTGTTTTGACTTCACAAAATTCAGTTGCAGCGGTTTCTAATAGAGACACAGGATATAAGAATAAGACCACAAATCCCTTTTGGTACTTCAAACAAAACTGCTGTGATGGCACGTAGGAACTCACCTCTACAGAGTGTATGTTCTCAAGACTTTAGACTTGGATAGGAACACGGGTCAAAGAAGGTTCCATCCTTTTTCCAGCTAAGCAAGAAATCTTCTATCTGGCAACACAGTTCCTGTGTAAATGTATAACCTACTTAGGAGTGTCGGGTTTTGTTAGGTATAAGCTTCTGTTTGTAAGGCATTGCCGTAATATTTTACAAGAGTGGGAGAAGTAAAATTCACAATCTTTGTTTCTGTTAGCTAACTCAGCCTGTGACTCCTCCTGTCCGTAGACAGTCACATAACCTCCCTAAGTCTATGTGCTCATTATGGAAGGACCCAGACGAGCTGTCTCATCACCCGTCACCCATTGTCTGCATCAATACATGGGAGTTCTCTGAATTGCACATACTGAAGTTCCTTTTCAGCCTCAAGAAAAAGTGGGCTGCAGCAGAAGTGCCACATGAGGCAATGCATCTCAGGAATGCTGGCTTCTGCTGCCCAGGACAAGGGTCTGCGTCTCTGGATGACAACGAGGGGCAGAAGTGGTGGCAGCAGGGAGGAATGGCAGCAAGGATGCTTTGGGTGTCAAAATGCCTTTCTGTAGGTCTGGTAGAATAGTTCCTCAGAAATAGCACTGTTCGAAACACACAGAGAGTTAAATCAGGATACCAGGCTGAGTGACGGAAATAATTGTGGCACTTTATTCCATGTTTATTTGTTGTAGAAGAGTGAGTGTCCACACTTGAGGCTGCACAGGAGAGTGACATAGCATGGGCCTTGCATACCAATGCCCTATGTCCCTGCAATTCTGTAAGACAGGGCTGTGCAGCATTTTCAAGTAATGGGTTTTCTTGAAAAGTACAAAACCACTTGAAACGTGTGTGCAACTTTTGTGGCTAGATCCTCAGAGAGTGAAATGCCAGAGGCTGCTCTGAATTCAGTGTCTTCACTGTTATCTGTTCTTCTTGGGTTTTTTATCCTTTTATATCCATTAAACAACTTAAATTAAAAGAAGTCCATTTGTTGGTCCCATTACGCTTGACCTATATCACAGTCGTTGGATTTGTTTATAGAATGAAATGACATTTTGGTTCCTTTTTACTGTCTCTTAAGTGCAACCTGTGTTTGCATCATTTTTTTGGAATGTATTTACTTACATGTATCACAAAGAAATTTCCTCTCAGTTAACTGCTCTGGGTCCTCACGACAAAAAACAATAATCTGGAGAAATCGGAAAATGTTTTCACAAAATAGTTGTTTTTAACACTTTTGTTTGCTGATTTGCTGTTAAAAAAGTGCACATATGGAGCTCTATGTCTTTATAGCAACTGTATGAGACTATTTCCAGTGTTTGACCAGCTGAGATTGAAATCCCATTGAATCCCATTAACTTCTGTTATGTGTCATTTTGAACCAGACTGCTTTGTCATATAGTTTTGGCATTAGAAATAATGAATCTGTGGATCATGAAGTGCTGCTGCCTGTTCTATAGGGATGGAAATGAACATATATCTTTGGTATTTGCAATCTCCATGTATTTTCAAAATTCCTTCCATTAGGAATTCCCAAATATAATTAGATTAAACTCCTTACTATTTATAATCCCAGTTATTACTTTCATGACAATGGGTACCTTTCCAATAAATTGTTCTGTTTAGTACAAGTGGTTTCAGGGGTCTAGAGGACAATGTGAAATACAAAAACCAATGCAAACATAATTGTACTGCAGCGCTCAGGAAGCATCCAGAAGTCTTCTTTCTGTACTCTTTTGTTTAACCCCTTCTTTAGTAATTATTGAACTGGTTGATTTATCAATTGAAATGGATATTTTCCCTCAGTATTAGTGCAATTTAAGAATTAGAGAAAGTCAGGTTTCATATTCAGAAATTCAATCACTGGATTTCTTTGCAAACAAAAGACATGGTTGTAATACTTTTCTTGGCTAAGTCTAAAGGTCAAAATTAGCAAGTTTTAAAGAAGAACTGCAGCGGCATACAGCAGAGCCTTTGTAGTAATCACAAATGAAAGACAGTGCTGAAATAGTGGATATCATAGAGAATCTAATTTATACTTACAACTTGGTATCTCTGATGGCAGCAGTGCAGTTTGCACGAGATTGAAATTGGGGCAAGAATGCAAAGAGCCAGCAAGTCAGTAAGGAAATAAAAGAATTGTGGCTAGGGGCCAGCAGCCAAATCCTATTGTAAAGGCAGCCCTTAGCCACATTTTCACTACTGTGACAACTGTGAAACTCAGGTTGGTTTTGTTGTTGCTGGGATCTTGGCTTTGCTTTGCAACCATGTGGGTTCAACGAAATAATCATTTTCAATGACTCTTTTAGGTTGGGGTTTTTTTGTGTGTGTGTTTGGCTGGAGGCCTCAGGATATGAACTTACTTTTAACTTCCAGATCTTTGATGTGCAGTGACATCGTCTCTTATTTTCCATAGAAACTGGTGGCAGCCCTTTGGGACACGGACAGCTGGTGTAAGGGAAGGCGCCTGCTGCAGCATATAGGACCTTGCCATGAATGCTTTCAAACTCTGATCTAGGTTCCCTGCATTTCACACACAGATGTACTTTTTCTCTGTTTGTTTCAGGGTCTTTATGTCTTTGTGGTATATTTTATCCTGCACAACCAACTTTGCTGTCCTGTGAAAGCAAGTTATACCGTAGACATGAATGGGCATACAACTCTGGGTTCAGCTTTTTTCACACATGACAGTGGTCTGCCGGCTGCAGGTGGAGAGATCAGCAAGTCCACTCAGAACCTCATCAGTGCTATGGAAGAGGTAAGAGTGCTCTCTGTAGTCATTATCTTGTGTATTGAAAACGTACCTGGAGATTTAAGTGGCTGTAGTGAACTGTAATACACAGGAATGAGATGCTAATTATTATAGGTTGGCTTTGGGGAGAGGGAGATTTTTTTTTTTTTTTACCATAAAAATTGTTATCTTTAGCCATGGTGCTATTCTTGGAACTTACAATTCCCTGGTAATATCCTATCTAGGGAATTTCCCTTTTTCTACTTGAGTCTTCAGTTTGTTATAGAGGCTGGTTAAAGTGTTGTCAAAAGTAGGTCATGAGAAATCAAAATATTAGCTTAGTTCTTGCTGCTTACTGTACGTCTTAGATGAGTTTTAAGTCTTTAATTTTCCAAAGTCATGCTGTGCAAAATTTCTGTAAATTTTAATAGAACAGAAAAAAATTAGAGAAAAAAAAAATTAAAAAAATGGAATGGAATGGAATGGAATGGAATTAATAGAACAAAATTAGAGAAAAAAAAAATTAAAAAAATGGAATGGAATGGAATGGAATGGAATGGAACGGAACGGAACGGAACGGAACGGAACGGAACGGAACAGAATAGAATAGAATAGAATAGAATAGAATAGAATAGAATAGAATAGAATAGAATAGAAAGAAATTTTGAGGGAGATGATTTTCAATGTCTTTATTGCTGGAACTGGAATGCTGCTAGTATCCCTTTTCACTACCTGTAGTAAACCAAGGTTACTTTTGCTGCTATGTACATATGTGTGCTGATAGAGCTAGTTGAAAATTTTCCAGCTAAACAGTTTTTCCAGTAAAAATACCAATTTAATGGAATGGAAACATTTCAAGGGAACATGTCAGGTCTAGTAATGATTTTTATGGAAACCAAGCTGCTCACCTGGCAGCTGTTTTACCTGTTTCTCTACCTGCTTCACTGTAGGTTTGTCTGGATTTTAAAGCTCCTCAGCTGCCTCCTGGCAGACCACTACATTTATTCAACTTCTCAGCATCTCACTTAAGGTGGTGCCTGACTCCCCAGTTTAGTGGACAGCATAGGTTCTCAGCTCTACATGGCAAGTTTTTATGTTTCTGAGCTCCTAAATGGTGGATGAGCAATAAACCAAGAAAATATATTTAGCTTGTCCTAAAATATATTTTTTTAGAGTTCAGTGTTTTGGCTTTTCACCACATTTAAGGAGGAGATAGATTTTCAAAACTATCTCTTCTCATGAACTGAAATTCTGATTTTTTGTGCAGCTCCACCTTAAACCGAAGTGGCAGATGAACTATAGCAAAATTGATATAGAAATTGTAGGGCTGTATACCACTTCCAGAACCTTCAACGACTGGCAAATTACTTTAAAATATTGTAATGGTAAACATGGGAAGCAGTGGGTTGCCCAACTGTAGATCATATAATGGAAAATAATGATGAAAAGTGGCTATAGAAGGAAGAAGCAGGGTCCAGCAGAGGAGGAGGCAGTGGTAAGAGAGGATTGAGCTGGAACCTTGCAGTGCTTTACTTTAAAGTTCTCCATACCAGGCCTAATGTTCAGAACTTGCAATATTTTTTCAACTTTTTGAGATAGCTAGGACAGGCAAAATAAACACAAGGTTAAATGACTTGTAATCAAGTTACATATATATAAATATTATTTAAAAAAAAAAAAAAAAAAAAAAAAAAAAATCACCCTATATAAGAAAAAAAAGAAAGAAACTTTCGGTTAA